GTGTGTTTATGTGTGTGCTAGTTAAGCTGTGTGCTTTGTCTCTTCTTTTCTCTTTTTATGGGTTTGTTGAGTTGTGTCCTCGGCAGAACCTCGTACTTTATGTCTTGCTACTACTTTGCTTGTGTGTGGGTGTGAATCTTTATGTACCTTGTGGCTGTGGTGGTTTCCTTTATTTATAAAACGGGGCAAAAGTCTTTTTGGGTATGTATGTGCTAGTACTAACTAACCTGCCGCCAATTGTAATCCTATTGATCTATATATAAGATGCATGCGTCCTTACATAGAGGTATACGCTTCCATGCCTTCACTTTTACATATGCTTGCTTTCCTAGCTAGCTAGTCCAAAGAAGGAGACGGCATGTTTTTCTTCTGGGTGATCCCTTTCTTTATGCCGACTAGCTAGTCCAAAGAAGGAGACGGCATGTTTTTCTTCTGGGTGATCCCTTTCTTTATGCCGAAGATCAGTTCCGCACACTTTCTAAGCTTTGGAACGGGTCGCAGCATCTCGAACGCGATGATTAGGCCACACCATGGCTGCTAACTCTTTCTTTTTCAGTTGCCATGGCTGCTAACTTGAATAATAAGAAATCTGGAGCTGTCATGTCGTGATTTACTGATGCAGGGATCAGTTCTGTCTTTTGACTTCTGAGTGCATGTTACACATGATCAAAGGCGCTTCAGAGTGCTAACTTGAGCACGAGCTCGTATACATTCTTTGCTACATTAAAATTTTAAAAGAAAATACTTGAAAAATTCAAGAAAAGACATCAAAAAAATCACAACAAACAATGATTTGTGTTTTACATGCGTGCAAACTTTTGCGATGGAATGACATTCAGGGTTGTCTGCGAAAAAACTGATGCTCCAAAATGCTTCCAAAGACAATCTTTTTCAAGCAACAATTTTGCATTTTTTGCCCAGACCTCCACAAATGGCATTCCATTGGAAAAATTTGTACGCATGTGAAAACACATTAAGTTTGTTGCAAAAGAAATCAGATTTAATTTTCTTGAGATTTTTTACTATCTTTTTAGATTCAACTGTAGCAAAGCGACGAAGCACCACCAGGAGCCATTCACAAACCCTAGCCACTATCATTTTCCATCTGATCTCCATTACCATCACCTCCATCACAACTATAGACATTCTTCCCTGAGTTATCCATACTTGTAATCGGTGCACCCTATGATCTGATCGCAATGTGTGATTAATTCTTTGAAGGCAATGGGCTGAGGAATGGCCTTGCAAGTTGCAACCATACGTATTTGGCCACGATAATCGTTGGATGACTTCACTTAATTGACGTTACTTTTATGTGTGTCGTTATTTTAACTTTACTTAATTGACGTTTTTTTATGTGTGATTCTAAGGCCCCGCAGGTACCTGAGAGCCCGTAGATCAATCCAGTAAAAAGTAAGAAGCGAGAATACATTGAATGCTATTCTAAAAACCGATGATAGTAAGGATTAGTATGGTAATGAGAAGCATTTTCTTGGGGATATATGAGGTGTAGTCATTAAACGCCCAATGCTTTTGTCTAGAGAAATTTGTAATAACCTAGATAACTCCGCGAGTCGATAAAGACTTGCGGTTGGACGACGGAGAGGTTGCTGACGGAATAATGTCTCAAGCCGCTTGTTGAGGTTGCTCAGCTGTTGTTGATTTTTGCAGCGGGCGGACTCGGAAGGCGCCAGGTGGATGGATCTTAGTCCTACACACTGGCGTGTAACGAGCAAGGGCAAGCGCCGCCAGCTGTCCTTGGCCGTGGTAGCAAGGTCAACTATCGGCGCCGAGGATTCCGTCCCCCATGCTTACACGAACGATGCGCACGTTTCCATCGTTGTCGGTGGGGCGGTCGTGATGCGTACTTTCTTCCGCATGCCCAGAATGGGTAAAGTGAAGAGCATCCTGCTGGCCAGGTTCATCGGCTCCATAGAAGAGACCTGACGCTTATTCGTCGTGACCGAACTCCTCGAGAGCGGCTTTCTATGTCTGCACCACTACGGAACGAGACAATCCTCTCCTAGGCGACCAGCTCTACAGCGGATCCGGCATGCAGGTCCGTGTGACTCGCATCTCGTAGTCATGGGCGAGGACGCAACCTTGAAGCTATTTGACCGGGGCCGCTGAATATCTGGATAATCCAAAATATTGTACGTTCATATTTGAGCGAAAAGTATATGACGATTCAGTATCCGCATTCAAGTTGAAATGAAAATGGATGTCTAAAATAGCTGGATTTATTTTACAGATGCAACTATAAATTTGTTTTTGGATTTTACAGTAAGTGTGGATATGAAAGATGGTGATGAGCGGGTTTTTCTTAGACGGGCCTCTGGCTCTATCTTAAAATATCCTTGCACTTATGCAGCACTGGCACCCACTCTCTAGGCAGCGGGATCGCAACCGGCTTGAACTCATGGTGGACGCCTTGATTGCTACAGCGCGCCGTCTTGCCTCGCCACTGATCGCCTGAGCTTCCACCCACTTGGTGGCTTTTTGTTCCATCTTTCTTTTATGCTTTTTCTCGACATGTTTGCGTTGTTGTCTCAGTGGACTTATTTATTTTCAGTGTGGTATTTGAACTTGTTGTATGGACATGGTGGTTGCTTTATTTATAAAAGCTAGGCGAAAGCCTATTTAGAGATATTTTCGTTCCAAACTTTAGGATATTTTCGTCTGTGCAGTTTTTCTTCTTCTTTGTTTCCGTGTGTTCTTGTATCAGTTTTCATTGGCATTATTTTGTTTTTTGTTTCTTTGTTCCTTATTTTTCAAACATATGTTAACTCTATTTAATCTATGTTGAACGTTTTTCATATACACTCTGTCTACTTTTTTGATATACTTTGAACATATATCAAATACATGTTGAACATTTTATCTTAATACATATTGTAAATTTGTCAAATGCACATCGAATATATTTTTATGCAATTATGAATTTTCTTTATATACTTGTTGAATATTTTTCAAATACACGTTTATTTTTTTTATGAATATAAGAGGAACATTTGCCAAATGCCCATTTTATCTTTAAATACAAGGAGAACTTTTTTTTAACACAATGAATATTTAAGAGAAAATAAAACATCTTGTAAGCATAATGAGTTCTTTTTTCACTGGTACGAAATATTATTCCAAATTCATGAACAATGTTTTACATTTTATCAAGATATAATAAAATGGTTGATCATATTTTTGAAACATGTGAATGTTCTTTAAATGTGATGAACATTTTTTTAAAATATTAAAAAAAATACAAGTTATGTGAAAAACTGCTTTACATCACATAAATTTAATGCGTGAAGATTTTTTTAAATAATTGAAGTAGTTTAAAAAATAAATAAATAAGTAAGCAAAAAAATGAAAGTAAAAAAATGCTGAAACCAAATGAATAAAAGGAATGAATGAAGCAGACCAATACTTCCCGACTAGCCGGCCCACTATGAACTCCATTGTGACAAGTTGTTCTTCCATCTCACTAGAACATTTTGATTCATCAATAAAGTTGGGCGTGACTAAAAAAATCAATAAAGTTGAGCGAGAATTCTCAAGAAAAAAAATCTCACTAGAGGCAGGATAAAGATGATAATTCAGAATCCCATCATAGGTCAACAGTTAGCAAGCAAACGCACACACTCACGCAATTGTAGGCAGTATATTGTGCCAGGCCAGTTCGGGGTTTTTAGTGTGTTCCCCCCGTTTATAGAAAAGTACCAGAACCTTCCTAGACTGTTTTACTTTTATTTTTTCCTTTTGTGTTTTATCTATAAGTTTTTCCCATTTGCTTTTCTTTCCTTTTTGCTTTTGTTGATTTCTTTTTTATGATTTTTACAATTTCGTATAAAAATGTAAAACCAAAAAGGAAATAATTGTGCCGCATATTATTAATTTTGTGAATATTTCTTGAAATGGAGGGACATTTTTTAAATACATGAATACCTATAAAATTCAGGAACACTTTAAAAAATGAGGAAACATTTTTTTTCAAACTTGTGATAATTTTTATTTTCAAATTCAGGAACAGTTTTTAAAATCCGGAAACATTTTTCAAATTTGTCATCATTTCTTGAAATTCAGATATTTTTTAAATTTAATAAAAAATTGTTCAAACCAGGCAGCAGCCACGTAGGACTCCAACACCCCCGGCCCACCCAGTCCCCCGTTTTAGTCTCGTTTCCTTCCACTCCGCCCCTTCTCCCCCTTGCTTTGTATTTGCACCCTCCAGCTCCGCCGCCGCCGCTATACGTCTCTTATCGTCACAGAGGCATTGCCGGATGTCCGCAACCAACACCGACGCGCCCCGCTAGCCTTTACGATGGCATTGTCCATCCTGGAGCCGGTTTTCATGAATTTCGTCAGGTTAGTTCAAATGCGGATTGAAATGTATGCGGACAGCGTTGGATGGCCGCCTCCCGCATCCTTGATCTTGGACTGGTCCCCCCCTGTTCGCGGACGGATGCGAGAGTAAATTTGCGGGTCGCGGTTGGAGATGCCCTTAACACCTCCAAACATGTCGATTGTAAAAAACACACACACATCCCAAACATGTGAACCCTCACAGGCACCACTGGCACTATAGTCAACCTCGTCGCCCCTATCTCCGGCGAGGTACTGGCCTAGTCTCGACGGGATTGCTATACTGAGTCATTTCAGCTCCGTTGGGCCTCGAAGCTTTGCACCTTCTTTCCCAGGAAATCCACCTATCCAATGAATATCAACTGTGTATAAACATAAAACCGATAAATAAAATATTGAAATGGTGCAATATATCCATGTGTGTAAGTGTGAGATTATACTAGCCAAATCGCGCATTTGCATATGCGAGACATATGTTGGATGGCAATTTTATGGTTGGACCCAACATGAACTCGACATGTTTATTTATTTATATCATTCACTCACTCTGTGACATGTTTATTTATTTATATCATTTAGTCACTCTGTGACATGTTTATTTGACTTATACGATACCCATGCAGATATACCTGCACAACTACCTATTTCCCCCCACTCTTATGAAACAGCTCCAGCGCCTGAGCCACTGTCATCCCACCGGGCACCTGGACGAACAGTAGTATCCCCAGGGTGGCGGCCGCCTGCTCTGCCGTCCTCACACCCATCTTCTCGATCGGCGTGAACTTTGCTGGCGGCTTTCCCGCCGGGGGCTTCGCATCCGTCTTCAACAGCGCTTCGGACAGGTCCTGCCACCCGTTCACCTGGGCCTTTAGCTCGTTGGAGATCTTCCCGCTCTTCTTCTCCACCGTCTTGGGGTGCAGCAGGCCAGCCACGAACCCCGACACGGTCTGGAACCGCGTGGCCTCGTGCACCATGAGGAGCAGCGTCGTCACCGCCTCCCTCGCCTGCTGCTGCTTCGGGCCGGAGGTCTTGTCGGCCTTGGTGCGCCCGTGGAGCGCAGTCACCGCGTCGGCCATCTGCTGCCGGCCGAGGGCAACGTTGGTCAGCTTGTCGGTGTCGCCGAGGAGGTCGCGGTAGGTGCCGCCAAACCCGACATAGGTGGCACCGGGGATAAGGCCGGGGGTGAGCTCCCACCAGGTGCCGTCGCTGCTCTTGAAGCCCTCCCAATAGAGGTTGTCGGCGCGGGTGGCGAGTGTGAGCCCGGTGTTGGCCGGCGATGTCTTGAGCACGATGTGGAACCACCTGCTCGGCGGGACGTTGGGCTCGATCGGCGGTAGCACGGGGCGGTTGTGGGAGGATTGCCCCGGGTTGCGGAGCTTGTTGCGGATGCCGGTGATGAAGGTGACATAGTCGGTGGAGCTGGCCTGGACGTTGAACGTCGCCGTGAAGAGTGGCTTGTCCACGTTCTTCGCCATCTTTGCTGCCATGGATATTAAGCTAAGATGAGACGAACTATCAATGGAGCGGGGGGTGAGATATGGAAGACGATGAACGAACTCGTTATGAATTTATAGGCGATCGACAGGTGCATGGTGTTAAACGATAGGCTTTGTATACGTGTACGTGTCATATGTAACTTGTACGTGATGCTGTGCTTACGTGTTGTATACAAGGTAGGTTGTCAGAGATGATCCTTATCTTTGTATAGCTTGACTTCAGGGTCAACCCTAATACTACTACGTGGTGTGTGCGCGTGTGTTTATACGAAGGCGTTGTTGGAGGTGATCATTATCTTTGTATATTGCTTGGTTTAGGGGTCTGTCGTACTAACTAACCTGCCGCCAATTGTAACCCTATTATTTATATAACATGCACGCGTCCTTACCTACATGTATACGCTTCCACGCCTTCACTTTTACATATGCTTGCTTTCCTAGCTAGCTAGTCCAAAGAAGGGGATGCCAAGATTCAATTTCGTTTGATTTGCAGCACTGCACGGCTACGCAGGCATGGAGACGGCATGTTTTTCTTCTGGGGATTAACTAGTGGATGATCCCTTTCTTTATGCCGAAGATCAGTTCATCACACTTTCTCAGCTTGGAATTTATGGGTCGCAGCATCTTAAACGCTATCCTTCTACCATGGTTGCTAACTTGAATGAGAAATCTGCGGATGTCATGTCTCGATTTAGTGATGCAGGGATCAGTTCTGTCTTTGGAATTCTGAGTATATGTTACATTATCAAAGGCGCAAAAGTTACAGTAGTAATTGAGACGGATTGGTACTTGTGTCGAGCTGTAAACATGATCTTTCTTAGAGAAACAGGAGGATCACTATCGGCTCCATTTTTCTGTTATGAAGCCTATGATCAGGCAGAGCAAAGGAAGCAGGTTCCGCCTCCAGTAGGGACAAATAAAAACAACGACACACGACAGGTTCAGGCAACCAATCCCGCGGAAACCGTCATTAGTGGCGGGTGCAATTTGGTTATCAGTGGCGTGCCCCAGTCACATTACTGTCATGCACTCCCTTTGTTTCTTTTTACGCCGCGTATAAATCTTTTTTGAAGTCAAACTACACTAACGATGCGTTTGGTTCATCGAAAAAAGGGCGGCTTCCGATTACATCGGTTTCTAAAACCGTAGCGAGCGTTTGTTTCGGCGACGATGCTTTCCATAAACGCGCTTCCCGATACGGCCCTTCACGAAATTGAAACCGCCCGAATTCGCCGGGGTTGGAAATCGGGACTCGGCCGAAGTAACCAAACAATCCACGTTTTACGCAAGAATATCCGGAAGCGGCACTTCCTGAATACGATACAGCGAAAACATTACCGGCGCGGTACCAAACGCGTCGTAAGTTTGATCAGATTTATATTGATTTCATGATGCGTCTGATAATATTGATTTCATATTGTGAATGTTGATACTTTTTAGAGAAAAGTATACTTTTCGTCACTCAATCCTTGACGGAGTCTAGATTTAGTCCCTCAACTCTAAAACCGGACAACTTGCACCCTGCTAGACTCCACGAAGAGTTGAGGGATGAAAAAAATATTTTTCTCTACTTTTTAATATAAAGTTAGCCAAACTTTACAAAGTTTGATTTTGATCAAATTTTATATGCAAACTAAAACAAAACGAAGGGAGTATGTACTTATATATACTAGTAGTGTGCCTTCATACCTGCAGTAAGCTCTCTCGTTTACTCTCACACCGCACATCAAAGCAGTTCTAATTGTGATAAGTACACAATGAAACTTAAAGCATCAGTAGTACAGAAAACTGAACGGGGGTTAACTGGATTACATAGCTAAAATAACCATTAGCCGCTTCATTACACATCCAATGATTTGGACCCATTGTTTAAATCCAAAATGACATTCGAGGAGCTCGTCACAAAAAATATGGACCACAAAATTTTTGCACACTACTAGGGCATCCAAGCATCTTGGATGCCTAAAACTGTCAGAGTTCTCTGAACTATTTTACCTTTTTTCCTTTCAAACTTACTTTCCGCCAAGAGCAAATGAGGCTATGCTCTGTACTACGGTTTTGTTTCCTCTTTTTAAATAACTTGTTCATGTGCACCCTTAATGTTTCGACTTGTTCTTCATATCCTATTGTTGCAGAGACTGGTTGTGATTGCTATCTTCTCGATTTTCATATACTATCCATTATCAAAGGAAAAATTCTATGGGGATGACACCCTCTAACTAGTGGTGGCTCTCAACTTGACACAGAAAGCGAAAGAGAAACTCCTAATCCTCAACATCTGACTATTTTTTTGATTTTTTTTAATTTCTTTCTATCCATTTTCTAGCTTTCCTTTGCTTTATTTATTTTGTGCAAGAAAGGTCTTGAGAGTGTCTGTTTGGGAGGGTTCTTTTCTTAGCCTTCTGTTTATCTAGGAGTAGCTATTTATGGTCGATTTTTGTACTTACATGATCTCAATGATCAAATTAGATGGTTCTTAGCTTCGATTTTTATCTCTACTCCTATAAAGACCCAGTTGGTAATGATGGTGTGTCTGCCATCCGTCATTTCTGACTATTAGATCTGCATCTAACGATTACAAGGTAAATTGTGGCATTTTCATAACAAGACCCCACTTCTCTGCTCCAATTTGCTGAAAACCCCTCATCAAAACAACCCGAGGATTTTGTGTAAGTGTTTTCTGAAATTTCTGTAAGTGTTTTCAGAAAACTTCTATGAGCTGTTTTTAGAAAATTTCTAGAACAATTTTTATCAAATTATGGGCTGTTTCAGAAAACACTTCTCTGCTCCAATTTGATAGAATTTTTCTGAAATTTTTACATTGTATAATATATATTTAAAGCCTGAACATATTATGCAACTCGTCAAGATTTTATAAATATCTTGAACAAATTTTCGAATGATGTTAACTGTTTTTATCAAATTATGTGAACATTGTTTTCACATTACGTGATCATTTTAATACACGGTGAACTTTTCTAAGTCAAGATTTTTCTTAACATATATTTAAAATATCCAAAATAAAAAAATGGAAAATGGAAAAGAAAAATCAAACAGAACAAAAAGAACATTACAAATGAACAAAATAAACCAACTACCCTTGACTAGCCCGACCCCCTATGAGCTCCCTTGAGACGAGTCATTCTTTCAAGGAGCTCCTAGTCAGTGCCTTAGACGCTGGCTTAGGCAGCTAGAGCTCGCACTCCGCCCGTGTGGGCCAGCCCACTAAAGCTCGCTCCCGTCAGTCGTATTTTCGCTGGTGCTCGTTGGGTCGTGTTAGACCGGTTAACCCCTCAAAGAAATTTGTTAGAATCGTTGACCATGCCAAGTTGACAGTTCACCGATGCCTTGTCCCCTTGAACGTTGACTTTTAAAAAAAATCAAGTGTTTGAAAATATTCAAGAATTTGAAATTTTTTATTGAGTTGGAAAAAGCCATCTTTTTTTAAGAAAAAGTTCACAAACTTGAAAAAGTTCATATATTTTTGAAAAATGTTCATCAATTTTGAAAAAAAATCATGAAAAAATTTAAAAAGTTCATAAATTATGTAAAAAAGTTTATCAATTTTTAAAAAGTTCATGGAAAAATGAAAAAAATCATTGATTTCAAAAAATAGTTCACCAATTTTGAAATAATTTGACAAAGAATCATCGATTTTTAAAAAGTTCGCCGATTTGAAGAAAAGTTCATGAATTTTAAACAAATCATGCATTTGAAAAAAGTCCATGGGTTTTGAGAAAAAAGTTCAAGAATTTGCACAAAAAAACTTCAAATTAAAAAAGTCACGCATTTGTAAAAAAAAGGAAAAGGAAAAACGGACAGAAATCATAATCTTGGTGAATTGAGGGAGAGAAAAGGACATAATATTAGCGACAGCTATTGTGTCCATATGGTTACGGCAGTTCATCCTGGAAGAAGGAGATAGCTGGTTTGAATCTTCTCGCGCGTGGGAATGCCGTTCTTTCATCTCACTAGAGGCTACCGCTCAAAACAAATCTAACTAGAGGCATGATAAATTTAAAAACTAATCAAGATAAATTCTAAAATAAAATAGGGGCAAGATAAAGACGCACCCGCCACCCTCTACTTGTCTGTCCATGAGAACACTATATGGGGAGGGCTAACTTTTTTGAGGGTAAGGTGGGTTCCAATGGGCTAAGCGTGCTAGCCCAATTAATATTTTTTTCTTGTCATTTATATCATTTCACTCACTCTGAAACATGTTTATTTATATCAGTCACACGCTCTGTAGCATGTTTATTCGAATTATATAATATACTCATGCAGATATACCTGCAAAACTAGTTATTTCCCCCCACTCGCACGAAACAGCTGCAGCCCTTGGGCCACCGTCAACCCACCCGGCACCTCGACGAACAGCAGGATCCCCAGCGTGGCGGCCGCCTCTTCCGCCGTCCTCACGCCCATCTTCTCGATCGGCGTGAACTTCGCTGGCGGCTTTCCTGGCGAGGGCTTCGCGTCCGTCTTCAGCAGTGCTTCGGACAGGTCCTGCCACCCGTTCACCTGGGCCTTTAGCTCGTTGGAGATCTTCCCGCTCTTCTTCTCCACCGTCTTGGGGTGCAGCAATCCGGCCACGAACGCTGACACTGACTGGAACCGCGTGGCCTCATGCACCATGAGGAGCAGCGTCGTCACCGCCTCCCTCGCCTGCTGCTGCTTCGGGCCGGAGGTCTTATCGGCCTTGGTGCGCCCGTAGAGCGCGGCCACCGCGTCGGCCATCTGCTGCCGGCCGAGAGCGACGTTGGTCAGCTTGTCGGTGTCGCCGAGGAGGTCTCGGTAGGTGCCGCCGAACCCGAGGTAGGTGGCACCGGGGATGAGGCCCGGGGTTAGCTCCCACCACGTGCCGTCGCTGCTCTTGAAGCCCTCCCAGTAGAGGTTGTCGGCGCGGGTGGCGAGCGTGAGCCCGGTGCTAGCCGGCGAGGTCTTTAGCACGATGTGGAACCACCTGCTAGGCGCGACGTTGGGCTCGACCGGCGGCAGCACGGGGCGGTTATGGGAGAAGTGGCCCGGGTTGCCGAGCTTGTTGCGGATGCCGGTGATGAAGGTCATGTAGTCGGCGGAGCTGGCCTGGACATTGAACGTCTCGGTGAAGAGCGGCTTGTCCACGTTCTTTGCTGGCTTCACCGGTTGCGCCGCCATGGATAGATAGAGTAGCGATAGGGGGGGTTGTGAGATATGGGAGAGGATGAGCGAATTGGCGATCAATTTATAGGCGGGCGCATTGCTTTGCTAGCTATTAGTCCAAGAGCAATTTGGTTTGATTTTCTTCTGGGAATTTTAGTACTAGATAGTGGATGCAAGAACGATTCCTCACACTTTCTCAGCTTGGAATGGCTCGCAGCGTCTCGAAGACTCGAACTCGATCCTTCTACCGAGGGCAGCCACTGACCATGGCTGCTAACTTGAATAAGAAATCTGCAGCTGTCGTCTCGCGATTTGTTGATGCTAACTTGGATCAGCTCTGTCTTTTGACTTCCGAGTACACATGTTACTACATGCTACATGATCAAAGGCGCAAAAGTCACGGTAGTAATTGGGAAGGAAAGTACCCGTGTCAAGCTGCAAGCATAATATTTTTTATAGAAAAAAAGACGATCAATCCCGGCTCCAGTTTTTTTAATGAAGCCTATGATCAGGCAAATAGCAGGTTCCGCTACAGAGAAATAAAAACAACGGCACACGACAGGTTCAGGCAACTAGCCCAGCAGACGCTAATCACCCGAAGAAAGGAAAAGTAAGGACGTGGAGGAATTGATCCCGGGCACCAGTGATCCTGGATAAACAGTAAAATCCAAAAAAATAGTAAAAAAATTCAAAAAAATCTGAAATTTGTTGTCAAGAAACTTTGATGTTATTTCTACATGCGTGCCAATTTTCGTGATGAAATGACATTTGTGGAGGTGTCAGCAAAAAAAACAAAATCATGCTCCAAAAAAACTGTTTTTGGAAGCATTTTGGAGCATCGATTTTGTTTTTTTTGCCGAGACCTGCATGAATGTCATTTTGTCATGAAAATTTGCACGCATGTGAAAAATATATCAATATTTGTTGCCAAAAAAATTCAGATTTTTTTGAACTTTTTAAATATTTTTTCGTTTGTACTGTAGCAAAGGGTGCCTGTGAGCTCGAGCTCACAATAGCACTTTCGCAACTCTAACCGGTCCTCTATCGGGCCGTAAGGAAAGATAAATTCGGTTTTCCTCTCTTATGATGTACCTAGTCGATCCCCTAAACATATTAGTAGAGTATAAAATATTTCCTCCAACACCGAACCCTCCCCCTTCCCTCCACATTCTTCCTAAATATACCCACTCCTCGCACGGCTGAGGAAAATGGTCCGCCACCTTCTCCCACCCTCGCACCGGATCCATTCCCGCCGCAGCCGCCACCCATGACCGGCCCTCCGATCGGAATGGATTGCCCGGACCCCTTCGCCAGCCCGCCGACCATCGCCGAGGAGGCTGCCAAGAAGAAGAAGAAGAAGGCCACAATGACACCCTCCAAGGCTGGCGCCTCATGCAGCGTCTCCGGCAACACTTACGGGCACTGCTCCGACGCGTCCGAAGGCGGCAGCTGGCAAGAAAGGTCGCTGCCGCCAAATCCTCGATGAAATGCCGACAAGGTAAAAAAAATCATCTTCATCATCTTAGTGGATGGTGATTGTTGGTAGCCGATGGTGATGAAGTTTGTTTGTTTCGTTGTCATAGTGCGGAGATGAACAAGACAGGATTATTAGCGTCTACGGAGTCCTCGGCAACAATGGGGCTTGATGAGCTCAACTATGAATCAATTTGGTATCAATCGAAGGCGGCTGAAGTGACCAAAGACATAGAACAAGACGAGGCGGCCGAAGAAGAGGAGATGGCTAATGTGGAGGAGGTGGTGGTGGCGGTGATGTTTTCTTTGGCGACCACCTCGTTTGAGTTCGTGCATGCCATTGATTGGCTCGATCCACAACATATACATGTGTTTGAAGTGATGTCTTTTGGATAAACTACGCATGTTTTTATTTAAAAATCACGATGATGAAACTATATGTTATGACGGTTATGTTATGCATGCTTTAATTTCAATGTTTTTATGATGTATATTATTAAGTGTTTGAAGTTCATGCGGCTAAAGCATAAAATCTATACATTTTTTTACTCCACTAAATTTTAGGGGATCGGCTAGGTGCGACCACCTATAAAGAAGGATACATTTACTCCTCTAACTTTACTCATCCGGATCCTCTTTTGACTTTTAAGGGACCGATTAGAGTTGCCCTATACACTATATCAGCCAACAATGACCCAACTTTTCATCATCCCAATGGCAAGAGACCTCTCCTCAGTTTCTTTAAATCGCGGCGTTGCAGGTGAGGGAGGCCCGCCATAGGCAGGATCTCAGGTTCGACGGAGGGTTGGTAAGGTGCAGGGTGGTTGTGGCGATCTTTGCATAGAGACCTTCAAGGCTTCAAACGTGCACAATATGCAACCACAAAAGAAGTGGGAAGCTGATTGGGGTGAACAGGCGGAAGAGACCTTAAAGGCTTCATATTTGTCTTTTTGTGTTGAAGCAGTGTTTTTGTCATAACGTGATGTAAAACAGTCATTTTTTGCGGTCCCCTGCTGCCCTAAAAATTTGTGACGACTACACGGCTGGTGTACATTTGTAACACGTGATGTTGTATTTAGGGTTGCCTAAAAAAAATTAGAGCAAATTTTACAAATAGGACAGCTGTTGCAGCTGTGCTTTTGATCTCAAAAGCGAGGGACCATGATTGTCGATTCATTATAGAGCAGCTGTTGGAGATGCTCTAAAAGTTTAAAATCCTTTTGTTGTTATCATAACTTAATCTTCAACCAGAAGTTGCTTATCAGACATACCTTGTGATACGCACGCTATGTTGCCGAAGAGCTATGCACATGTATGTTGGGCGCACAACAGTTGCTCTCGAGCCTCCGAGCGATGGACAGGCTTTCACATAGCGTCTTCACATAGACCCCTATACATCCAAAAAATGCTCTAAGTCCGCCAACGAGGCAGGATGGGGCTCAACGCGCTCGAGGCCAAATCTTATTCAGCGCCTTGCCCAACGCACCAGAGGCATTTCTCTCCCCGGTTTTGAAAAGCTTCCAGAAGCTTCCCAGCCATTTTTTCCTTTTTCGATTTGGGTTTTCTGGACCAGTTTTATTTGTTTTCCCTTTCTTTTTATGTTTATGTTTATTTTATTTTTCTTTACTTTTTTCTTTTTTCAAAATGCATGATTTTTTTAAAAAAAATGATGAACTTTTTTTTAAAATCTATGAACTATTTTAAAATTTGTGATGTTTTGTAAAACTGATAATTTTTCTTTCAAAATTAATGTTTTTTTAATTGATGATTTAAAAAAACAATTAACTTTTTCAGTTTTGTGAACTTTTAAAACAAATGATATTTTTTCCCAAAAATGTGAACTTTTAAAAAACATTTTTCAAGTACAATGAACTTTTATATTTGTGAATTATTATTCAAAATTAATGATTTTTTTTCAATTTGATGATCTTTCTGATTTTTTGCAAACTTTTCTGAATTTCTGATATTTTTCCAAAAAAAAATGTTTTTTATCAAAAAATTAAGCAACCAACCATGATTAACCAAATGGGAAACCAACTGGCCCGCTCGCTGTGAGTGTTCTCGTCGTTCTTGGTCCGGCCCACGAAGGGGCGCGTGTGGGCGCTGGTTCCCTTTTCTGGCGCAGAGGGCGCTGAAGAGGAGCTTTCACGCTTGAGATGGCCAAAAGTTTATTGGAACATGCAACTGGCCAACAGGCAGACAACGGGCGACCACATGGGCACCTCGGTCGCGGCACACGCAGGCCTAGATCCAACCATCTCCACTAGCTCACGACGCGACCAAAGCATGACGCGGACGTCCATCTACAGGCCCCACACACCATGCCTCGTCGGAGCTAGCCAGCACCGCGCTGCCAGAGCCATGTTGTTGACGTGCGAACAGGCCCTAGGCTCACACGGGCCAAGAACGGGTCCAGACAGCCACGACCATCACCGTGGTTTGCCACAACCACGACGATAGTCGCTGCCAGGGTGCCGTTCCATCAGTGACAGGTGGGCTCATTGAAAAACAGGCCCACATGGCAGTGCCACAACTGCAGGCAACGTACGTCAGGGGAGCCGCTTCCATGCCATAGAGCGAAGCTCCGCCCCACATCATCGCGAGGGGAGGAAGCCTTGCCTAGGCTACGCGACATAGGCTTAGTCCATTCACGTCCTTTTGCAGCAGTGAGGGGGTTGATGGAGAGGGGTGGGACACCGCCTAGGAGGAGGAACGTGGGGTCGGGGGAAATTTTCTAAGCTGACACTATTTCACCGTATTAGATAGTGAAAAGAAAGCGATACTAATTATTTCAGGATATATCACTCATACAGGCCTCATATGCTCTAGAACTCTCGTTCTTTACTCGCAAACCCTATAGATAATGCACTCAGAAAAATCACTATTGCGATATTTATATCACACACTTTAGATCACACAGGATATATACTATGGTAGAATAAAACACACATACATACCAACAATTCATCGAAGTAAGACAAATTAATCTTTAAGGACAAGCGGTTTTACTGTATATTTTTTATCTCGTAGAATTCGGCATAAACAAAGGCTTTTAAGAGGCATTGTCTAAAACATCAGCTAACATGGTTTCGTTGCAATATATGGCTTAATTTGGAATAAGTTTAGGCATAAATTTGTACAAAGAAGATATTGCACCTTCAAATTCAGCGGCATTTTCATGTTTCCATATTTTCTAAACGTGATAGAAAAATATAGTGGTTATGATCATATGGCGAGGATGTTGTGTATGCATGAAAAAACTCAAAAGAAAACCCAAAACCATTTTGAATCACTAGACAACATTTGAAGTGTCAATTTCACAAAAACCATCAATCGGACCAAGAATAAAAATATAGGTTACAATTAGAGTAAATGAATTTTAATGACTAAATCAAGAAATGCATGTGTAACAGCTTAAAATGGAGAATTGCTCAAAATGGGTTAGTTTTTGTGACAAAAGAAGTCCATTCACCCCTCCACCTCATTGAGTTTTTGTAAGACCACCAATATAATTACATAATAAATTTTGTATTTCAATTTTTTCTTTAGTTACTAATTTTTGTTCGTGTATCTCTCAGGCTGTCTGAATCTTATCATTCTTCACTATTAGTTTTGATGTTCCCAACTTTTTCTTCATTATGTTCGTTTTCGTGTTCATACAATCCTGGACCAATATTCCACATCTTTTTTTTGTTTTTTCGTACTTCTCAAAATCTTTCTTGGGACCCTGCACAAGTAGGAGCTACCTGCATCAGGCTGCCTTTACTTCTCAAAATCTTTCGTGACTCACCGGATTTTTGTTTGAAGTTGCATAGTTTTCAGTTTATTCCCATTCCAATTGCTTGTTTACGATAAAAGGGTTTCGTAATATTATTTCATTTTTATTTAGCCGGCAGTTGATGACAAAGTGTTGATTAAATACTTTTCATAGCTAGCATTGTGTAAAATTTTGAATTAAGTGTCTTCCTATTCACTGCTTCATGCAATTATGCAAGATATTCTAACATTTTTTTTCTTAGAAACCATGTGGGTCTAGGGTGGCAGATAAGTGAGCACTTTGAGAACTGATATGTAGCAGTAGAATCATGGCATCAACACTATCTACATCAAGATGGCTATATGCGGTGAACGTTGTTTTCTCGGTTGTGTTATGTATGTTGACTTCTCTGTAAACTTGTTTATTCCACATATCTCATGTACACCAGTGTGCTTATCAAGGTCAAGGAGACCTCAAAGGAGGGGATTTTCGTTGATAAAAAAGCTAGAGATATATGGGAGGGAAGTGACCATTCTGCTAGACTAGTCGACTACTCCCTTCGTTTCATAATATAAGAGCGTTTTGTCAAAAAACGAGGATTGTTCTAGAAGTTGCAAGCCATGACCAACCCCTACCACTGGTCACCCTATCCACCAGCGTTATTTGGGAGTAGAAGAAGGTATTTAAGCCAAAATCAGATCTAGAGAAACAAAAGCCTTATTTGGGGAGCTCCGCAAGGTGGGGCGGAAGTCGTCAATGACAACCGGAGCAAGTCCAACAGAAGCGACAAAGATCAGCATCCACCAAGCGATTCACCAGAGGAAGTTGACGGTAAACATTTAACTGCTAAGAAACCTTACAAGACTTAGAGCATGGTTAATAGTATAGCCAGTTGTTGGCTATATGAAACCGCCATGTCATATATAGTCATCATTCATATTCACTCATACAATAGTATCGGCTATAAGGTTGGCTATTACATTAGAATTTTTTTCTATCTTATCTCTTTCTCTTTCTTCACATTAATTGTATTTGCCTAAGAGTATGCATATAGCTAGGCTCTTGCATGAGAGCCCACTCCCTTTATTTTTTTACATCTCTCCTCCACATAGGCAAAAGTGCCATGTAAGTGGGCTATAACCTCTCTATTGTACTTGCTCTTATCGACAAAAGTGGCGCTGGTGGTTTAGCAATAGTGGGAAGATATATCTATAAGACCTACAAAAGTGTCGCGGGTGGTTTAGCAATAGTCTTGCTGTAAGAGCAAGTACAATAGTAGGTTTATAGCATGCTTACATGACAGTTTTTTCTATGTAAAGAAGAGAGACATGAAAAATTAAGGGGAGTGGGCTCTCATGCAAAAGTCTGGCTATACATGTGCTCCTAGCATATGCAATAAATATGAAGAAAGAGACAGAGAGATGATGAGTAAAAGTACTCCCTCCGTTTTTATTTAGTCCGTGTATTAGCTTTGGTTAAAGTCAATCTTTGCAAACTTTGACAAAGTTTATAAAAAAAATATTAATATATACAATAACAAATCAATATCATTAAATCACTGTTGAATGTACTTTCACATCATATACATTTGGTATGGTAAATGTTTATATTGTTTTCTATAAACTTGATTAAACTTTATGAAATTTGACTTCAGTTAAATCTAATATGCAGAGTAAATAAAAACGAAGGGAGTACTAATCTCATAGCCAACCTTATAGCTAATCTTGTTGTATGAGTGACTATAAATGATGACTATAAATAATATGGCAACATCATATAGCCAGCAGTTCGCTTTATTATTAACCATGCTCTAAATGCTAGCCCAAAAGCTAGGTAATTACTGGTCTCCCCGTGAACCAGAAAAATAACTATTTTGGCAATTCAGCAGTGGTCACTTCTACGGGATTTTAATACTAATACTCACTCCGACCAATTTTTTTTATCTTAGATTTGTTTATATACGAATGTGTTAGATACCGGCACTAGATATATTCGTATCTAAACAGATTTCAGACAATTTTTTTGGGACCGAGGTAATGGAATGAAGTCAAATTAGATGCATTATTAGATTTACTACAATTTAGTGTTGCTTGTCACACCAATCTCACGATCACTTCTGTAAATTTTGCATCTTCCCATCACGTAACATGTATTTGAGGCCAAAGTGCCAGACTTGGTCCACCCTTCTGGAGAAATGTCGCCAGTTCAAGATGCCGCGACCCATTCCACGCTGAATGATGTCGCCAGTTCAATACATCCCAGGCATGACCAGGTGTGCTGTGCTGCAAATCGAAGTTGGCCTTGGCTTCTTCATTGATTCAACTAGCAAGCATATATGCGCGCCTGTTGCCTATAAATTCATCGCCAACTCGTTCTTCTTCGTCCATCCTTCCATCATCGATCTCCCATTACTTTGTCCATCTCATCGAACCATGGCCACCAACCCGCGCTTCGTGGCGTCATTCGACGTGGAGAGCAGCGACAAGTACACCAGCTTCATCGCCGGCATCCGCAGCAGGCTGGCCAACACGAAGCACTACTCCCACAACGTCCCCGTGCTGCCGCCGGCGGACCCGCCCGGCACCCCGCCGCGCCGGTGGTTCCACGTGGTGCTCAGGACGCGGACCAGCACGCTCACGCTCGCCATCCGGGCCGACAACCTCTACCTGGAGGGCTTCCGGAGCAGCAACGGCGCGTGGTGGGAGCTCACCCCCCGCATCATCGCGGGCGCCACCCACCTGGGCTTCGGCGGCACCTACCGCGACCTCCTCGGCGACACGGACAAGCTGGCCGGCGTCGCGCTCGGCCCGCAGCAGATGGCCGAGGCCGTGAACGCGCTCGCCGGGCGCACCGCGGCCGACGCCGGCTCGGGCGCCAAGCAGCAGCAGGCGAGGGAGGCCGTGGTGGCGCTGCTGCTCATGGTGAACGAGGCCGCGCGGTTCCAGACCGTCTCGGGGTTCGTGGCCGGCCTGATGCACCCGAGGGCGGCGAAGAACAAAGGGGCCATCACCGGGGAGATGAAGGCGCAGGTGAACGGGTGGCAGGACCTCTCCGCGGCGCTGCTCAAGACGGATAAATATGAAGAAGAGAAGCCTAATAAACAAGACAAGAAGAAGCCGGAGAAAAAGGGCCCGGAAACGTTCCCGGCGTTTGACAAGATGGGGGTGAAGACGGCGGACCAGGCCGCCGCCACGCTGGGGATCCTGCTGTTCGTCGCCGTGGAGGGCGGGATGGCCAGGGACAAGGCGCTGCAGCTGTTTCGTGGGACTCCAAATTACTAGTAGCTTGGTGTGTACGTGGATTGATTGATGCTTCAGGCCGCAGAAACCCTACTAGCGATTAGCCGATTATACTTTAAGTTTTTTTAACACAAACACAAACGCTTACATACACGCCCACATATTCACCCATATGAACGCACAAACGCATATTCTACCTCTATAAGCATCTTTCAAAGACTAAGCCGGCATACTTTATATCATTTACTACAATCTTGTATGTATTTTCTGCGTACAGTGAATAGTGTTAAATTATATGATTAACTGATTCGAATAAATTATGTTAACTTAATAATCGGACCTACTATTTCGCCCCTATAACCCCGGAAAGCTCGGAGAGAAGAAAAACGTAATCAAACTGCGTGGGAGCTATATCTCGCTTAAAGTGAGATGTACGCTCCACCCGCCTCGCCGGAATGTTTTTCCTGCGCGCTGTAGTACTAGGCCGGCACATTTTCGTGTGTTCGTTCGCTCATTTGTTGTTGCTGGCTGCATTTGCTGCGCTCATTCGCTTGGTTTATTTTTCTTCTCTTTTGTTTTTTCTTCTGTTTTTTGTTCTTTATTTCTTCACCGGTGTTTTTCGTTTTTTGGTTTCATAGTCTCTTTCATGGTTTTAATTGTTTTTGCTTTAATTTTTATTTTTTTCCTTTGTTTCTTTGCCAATTTTACTGTTCTGCATAGTTTTTTTCTTTGGGTTTTTTAGTTATTTATTGTCTTTCTTTATGGTTTTTGTTGGTTTTTTCTTTGTCTTTTTATTTTTAACTTTTGTTTTTATTTTCTTTCTTTCTGAGTATTCACTATTCTCACTCTTTTGCATTGAATATCTTCAATTTTGCCTTTTTTGTAGTTTTACTTTGGTGTCCTTGGTTTCTTTCCTGGGTTTCTTCATTTTTCATTGGTTTTCTTAACTTTTCTTTTGTTTCTTTGTCGTTTATCTTAATTTTATCAACACATGTCAATTTTTTTTCATTACATAATGTACATGTTTAGTTATAGAGAGAATTCCTTATTTGACACTATCTTAAAATCTGCTTCCTTATTTGACACTGAAAAAAAATTCTTCCTTATTTGACACAAGTTCTAAATTTTATTTTCTATATGACATTTTCGTTCATTTTGAGCCTAAATGACACCTGAAAAGACTTTTTTGCCCCTCATGTGGTATGTGTGTGGGGGGCAATAGCGCACACACACAATACCAGTGCGAGGGCAGAAGCACACACGCAGCAACACATACACATGCACCAACACACACACACACGCACACACACACGCAACAACACGCACGCGCACGTGCACACACACACGCACACACACACGCAGCAACACACATGCACGTGCGCACACACGCAGCAACACACACGCAAGCAGCACAGTACACACGCACACACGCAGCAGCAGCACACACGCAGGCATCACATAGGCATGCAACAACACACACACGCGCGCGCACGTACACACGCAGTAGCAAACACAGACGCAACGGCACACATGCAGACACACATGCAGCAGCAGCACACATGTGCGTGTGCACCCACACACGCAACAACACACGCGCGCGCACACACATACCGCATGAGGGGCAAAATCGTTTTTTCAGGTGTCATTTAGGCTCAAAATAGACGGAAATGTGGTATAGGGAATAAAATTTAGGACTAGCGAAGAAAAAAAATTCCAGTGTCAAATAAGGAATCGGATTTTAAAACAGTGTCAAATAAGGAATTTTCTTTTAGTTATACGTGAAACATTTTTATGATATATGTTGAACATTTTATAAATACAAGATGTATTTTTTTTAAACACATGTTTTGAACACTTTTTTGAATACATGATCAAAGAAATTCAAATGCAAGATCAGCATTTTTTAATGGCAACAAAGCTTTTTCTGACAGAATGTACATCCTTCGTATACATCATGAACTTTTTTACATACATGTTTCACATGTTGTAAATATATTCTTATTCTTCTTCTTATTATTATTATTATTATTATTATTATTATAAAATATATGTCTTGATGTCCACTTTATTTCATATAGTATGTTGTACATATTTTTTTGCATCGGGAACATTTTTAATACATGTTTAGCTTTATTTAAATGGGTGATCGTCATTTTTTCATTTTTCTTCTCGGTTTTATTTTCCCCTCTCCATTTTCGTTTTTTTAACCTTTTTCCGTATAAGCTGTACGTTTTTCGTATATAGCAGGAGAATTTATTATAAACGTTTATCATTTTTGAAATACATGTTTAACATTTTTTAAAATATAATTTTTCAGATCTCCTTTTTTCATAGAGATTGTACTGTTTTATACAATAGGAACATTCTTTTATAAAAAATTAACATCTTTTTACTTATTTTCCGTTTTTCTATGTTTTTATTTATGGTTTTCATTGGTTTCTTTTCCTTTTACTTTTTCCTTTTCTTTTTCTTTTTATTTTCTTTCTTTCGCAATTTTAACTGTTTTCACTCTTCTTCATTGGAGATTTTGAATTTTTTTCCTTTGTATTACTTTGGTTTCGTTGGTTACCTTCCCGGGTTTCTTCATTTTTTTTCTTTCGTTTTCTTCGCTTTTCATTTGTTTCTTTGTTGGTTTTCCTAATTTTATCAACACATGTCTACTTTTTTTCATTACATAATGTACATGTTTAATTACACATGAAAATTTTAAGATACACATTGAACATTTCTCAAATATACGATGTACTTTTTCAAATACATGTTTTGAACACCTTTTTGAATACATGACTACAAATTTTGAAATACATGTTGACCAATATTTTAATGGAAATAAACATTATTCCCACAGAATGTTCATTTTTCGTATGCATCATGAACATTTTTATATAAACATTTAACATTTGATAAATACATAATTAGCATTTATAAAAATATATGTCTTGATATATTTTGATGACTAACTTTTTCACACGGATTGTATATTTTTGTATGTACATATAAACATATTAGGTATACTCTTTTCAAGTACATGATTAACAATTTTTAGAATGTATTTTTCATGTATACATTTTTTATACATATGAAATTTTTTTGTACACATTTAAAACAAAAATACATGCTTGACAATTTTTAAGTTGAGTTAACCAAGTTGTTGAGATGTAGATATATATGTGTATTTCTTATACAACAAGCCCTTCTCCTTCCATGTATAGTTGAGGACGTGGCTACCCTTTGTACTTATATATACGTGCGTATTGCACCCGATCAATATATTGTGAGTTGCATAATCCTCTATATGGTATCAGCCTAAACTCGATTCCTGCCCTAGCCGCGTCGCCGTTGCTTCCAAGCCGCCGCCGCTAGCCCCTTCGCTACGCCCGCGTCGCAGATTCTTCGCCGCCGCCGTAGCTAGCCTCGCCTCCCGATCCCTCTGCTCGCCTCGCATGCCTCGCCTTCCGCTCGCCTACGCCTCGCCGATCCGCTCGGCTTCCCGCTGCCCCTTTGCCTCGCCTCGCACGCCCGCCTCCCGATCGCCCTGCCCCGCTGCTTCCAAACCACTGCTAGCCACCGAAACCCTAACCCTACCCAGCCAAAACCGAACCAGCAGCCATGTCCGGTTCTGATCTCTCCCACCGCAGCGCCGCCTCCACTCCTCCGGCCGTCCGTCCGCCGAACCCCTTCGACTCCTCCGCCGGCTCCTCTGCTGCCACCCTGCCCGACCCTGCCTACATCCGCGATGTTCCCATCGAACGTCGCGTTCCGGTCATCCTCTCCCACAAAGAGGCGAACTTTTATGCCTGGAAGACATACTTCAATCTCCTCTTCCGTGAGTATAACCTGCAGGATCACATCGACGGCACCGCCAACCTCTTCGTCCTGAACCGCGACGCCGACTGGCTGGCGATCGACACCACCATCATCAGGTGGCTCTTCCTCACCGTGTCCAAGGACATCTTCCACATCATCGTTCGCGACAAGGACGATGCATGCACGGTGTGGAACAAAATCGTTGGCCTCTTCACCGACAACAAGCTCCAACGGATCGTCTTTCTGCAGCAGGAGTTTTTCGGGTGTCACCAAAATGACTCCTCCGTCGATGACTACTGCATGCGCCTCAAGACTCTCTCCGACGAGCTCAACGACATCGGTTTCAAGGTGGGCGATGAGTTGCTACTCTCCACCCTCACCGCCGGCCTCAATGAGGATCTCGGCAACGCCGCCTCCAACCTCACCCTCATGGCGAACCCTACCTACGAGCGCGCGGTGGCATATCTACGTCTCGAGGAACGCCGGTTGAAGCATCTTCGCTCCCGTGCCGTTCACACCGCCTTCACTGCCGGCTACTCACGCGGCGGCCCTGCTCCCATGAGCGCGCCCCCCGGCTTTCCGGGGCCGTACCAGGCGCCCCGACCCGCGGCTTCTCCCGCGCAACATGGCGCCTATGGCGCCCCATACCAGCCGCGGCCTCCGGCTCCCGCGGCTCCAGCGGCTCTTCCTCAACATCCGCCGCAGCAGCAACAGCAGCAGCAGCCGCGCCAGCGGCGCCGTGGCCGTGGCAAAGGCCAGCAGCAGCCGTAGCCGCGCGCTGGGGCTCCCCAACAGCAGCCGACGCCACCTTGGGAGGGGGGGGGCCACAACCCCTGGACCGGGTTTGTGCATGCCTACACCATGCCCGTGCCCCGCCCTCCCACTCCGAGTCTCCTCGGGCCCGGACCATCCGTTCATCAGGCTTTCTTCGCCGGCCAGCAACCCGGCCCGGTCGGCCCATAACCCTACTACTCTCCTGCTCCGGTTGGCTATGGCGGGCCACACCCTAGCGCCGGAGTGACTGGCTACGCGGGCTACTAGGCGCCAGTCTCCTACGATCCATATCTCCTTGCTGCACTGCATCAACAGCCTCCGACCGGGGCATATTTCGGTGGTGGTGACTGGTTTATGGACACCGGTGCATCTTCCCATATAGCCGCTTATCCGGGTAACCTCTCTTCCGCGTCTCCTATTCACACTTCCTCTCGTATCATTGTCGGTAATGGTGCTGGTCT